GGATAGGCCACCTCGGCACTCAAGCTGTCAAGGAACTACAAGTCCCATAAGGCACTGCAAGACTCTGGCAGTCACAGTCACGACTCCCTAATGCAGAACCATGATGGGATTTGTAGCTTCACCACAGCTGCATTGCCAAGGTTGCCTCCCCCTGGGCTAGGTGTCAGTCACAGTGTCATTGGATCCCCGATATATGGAGAACGTACTCCAGAGGAGTGAACACAGGAAGTCCTGCTCACCGGAACAGGAAGTGAGAGGAGATCTCCCCAAAGGCGACCCAGACCACAATATTAACCCTTCAGAGGATCGGAGGCACTCGATAGCGTCATTATAAAACGTCGTATATTTTCTCCACAGAGTGTCCAGGCCGCCGTCACGAGCGCATTGCCTGCAGTGCACGTTGTATGCGGTCCCTCCGGCAGGTATACGGCGCATGCTTCAGCCGCAGTTTATGTCTGGGATACAAATTGCCGCTTGGCGCGTACATCGCCTTCCCCTTCTCCCCCATAATCCCGCGCAGGATCTGGTTGCGGGCCAATATCTTGTCGTAGAACTCCAGCCCGCCCCGGGCGTAGCCTCCGGATAGGGCGGCCACCTTGCGGTCGGCCCTGTAATCCAACCAATGGCTGACCGCGTCGGAGCACAAGACGTACCCGGTGAATCCCAGCGCGACGGCGAGCATGTTAAAGACCCCCCTCAATAACACGGGGCCGGAGTACAGTCCCAGGAGCTGCTTGAGCCCCACGCTGGAAACGCAGACGGAGGCGAAACAGGCCGGGGCCACAAACGCCTGGATGACGGGGCCGCTGTCCTGCGCCTGGACGGCCTCGCGAGCCAAAGAGAATTTCTGAGCGTCCAAAGAGAACGTCAAGGAGTCCCTCAGCTTCCTCCCGACGTCGCCGCTCCAGTCCACCTCCTCGCCCTCCACCACCAACACCCGATTCACGATTCCCGCCCCGTCCTCGGCGCCGTTATAATTGGGGGGAATGCCAATCAAGCAACCGCCGGGGAGCCAGGGTACGCCGGCGCTGATTGGGTGGAAGCCGTAGACCGCAAAGGGGGTGTATCCAGAGGAGGAGGTGCAGCGTGCTTCTTCTAGGACTTCCCGGAAGAGCGCATGGAGTTTGTCAGACAACTCTGCGGGTTCCCCTCTGAACCAGCCCTGGTACAGCTTCCGGAACGTCAGCTCTGGGAGGGCGTGATATGACATCTTGGCGGCGAACAGGGCGAGGGAAGAGGCGCCGAGCAGCTTCCCTCTGTGTATCCGGGTGAAGGTGCAGAACTTCATGAAGAGCCGGAACGCCATGACGCCGAACCTGGAAACGACACTCAGCGTTAGTGATAGTCACAGGTCACATGTGCGGGAAATGTTCTCAGATATTAATGGATAAGTTTTCATACGACTCTCAGATGAGAGACGGACGAGATGCTGCGGCAGTGAAGAGCCGCAGATCATCTCAGCTGTAGAGTATTGGGCCCCATTCACATCTGGGAGCCTCGATGCAAGCGGCGCACCTAGAAATGACAGGGCCCCATAGCAAAATTTTGTATGGGACCCTGTGGTTTCTAGTAACACCTCTTACAGAGTCCACCTGAGACCCCACACAGCCCACCTGAGAGTGACCCTGCAGAGCCCACCATAGACTGTCTATGGTGGGCTCTGCAGGGTTTCAGGTGGGCTGGTCACACCCCTTACCTGTCAGCCTCATCCACTGCTAAGCCCACCTCCTCTATGGTCACTGCCGGGCCCCGCCTCCTCCACTGGCTGTCACTGACTCAGCAGCGGCTGTCAGGAGGAACACGCCCAACAGGTTGTCAGTGATCTGAACGGCAGCGCGTTCCTCCTCACAGCCGCCAGTGACAGCCAGCAGCTTGTGATGCCATAGAGACCCAGGCGGCCCGCACGGCATCATGGGGGCCCCTTTGTTCCTCGTCCTGGCTGGGCCCCCCCGGACCCCATAGCGGCCGCCTGGGTCGCGACGGCGATAGTTCCGCCGCTACTTGATGGCATTCCAAGTGAATCAAGCAGGGTGCGTGTCTCGGTGCAGCACGGAGCTCGCAGTTCAAACTGAATGAGCGCCTTTGCTGCGTGTAGGGCCGACCATCATAGAGCAACCATAGGGGGGGAGGGGGGTACATTCATTTATTGGGTGATAGAGTATTAAAGGGAACCTGTCATCATCATAATAATAAAAAATTGCCTTCAGCGGGAAGAATTCTGCTGTCATAACATTACAATGGTCCCAAATCAATAAAATGATACAGATCAGCTCATACAATGTCACATTATAATCACGTCATAAGATTAAGCAGCACAGCTATGACGTAAGAAGATCAATTCAAGCATACAGATCGCTGAGCTCATAGTGAATCCACAGCATCAATGTCACCGGCTTCTAGAGCTCTGACACCACCGGTCCTCCGGTCACCCCTCACCCAGCTCCGGTACTGACCTCCAACACACGTGCAGAACACACAACGCTGCGCTCCAGTGACGTCACACGCAGGAAACATTTGTTACACTGAATCCAGTGCGGAGCTTCAGCGTTCGACGGGGCGGGGCGAGGGAGGAGCTTTGCGTAGACTGTGGACGTGTGGGGTGGGGAGGAGCTCCGATTATTCTGAGAGGCGCAAAGAATAGATCGCTTGTACGGAGGCGGAGCTTGGATTAGACTGTGTGCCTATGGGGGCGGGAGGAAAGATCCGAGTTGATTATGGGGCGGGACAGGGGAGGAGCCCGGAGTAGACTGATAAGACCTATGGGGCGGGGTGGAGCTTAGCGAAGAGGAGGACAGCCTATGGCAGCTTGTATGGTTTCTTGGGCTGTGCGGGGTCTATGGTGGGCTGTGTGGGGTCTATGGTGGGCTGTGTGGGGTCTATGGTGGGCTGTGCGGGGTCTCAGGAGGACTGTGTGGGGTCTATGGTGGGCTGTGCAGGGTCTCAGGAGGACTGTGCATAGTCCCTTTCCCTGCATACATGTGCTGCTCCTCTTACCTGCAGTTCGAAGTGCCATCAATACCAACAGAATAAATTGTAGTCCCCCAGCCTGCTTCTGGGACATCCCGCCATCAGATCACATGCTGTGGCCAGCCCCGAGCCACCCGCTGCTTCTCCTCCACGTCCTGTACAAAGCCAGCAGCACCGCAAATCGCTGGGCCCTCCCCTCCATCGGGCAGCTCTCCAATTAGGCAGCCGCTCTCAGGAATTTGCGGCCGTCTAGTTTGCTGCATTAGGCAGCCGCCGCTGCCTGATTCTGTGTCCCAGTATGCCCAAAGGCAAGTCCAGCCTTTCTGCTGCCCCCATGGAGAATGCCGCCCTAGGCAAATGCCTAGTTTGCCTTGCTGTAGATACACCCCTGCCCCCCCTTGCCCTGTGCTGTGTGCACGGTGTGTACCTTGTGCTGTGTGCACGGTGCTGTGTCTGTGTGCCCTGTGCTGTGTGCACGGTGCTGTGTGCTGTGTGCCCTGTGCTGTGTGCACGGTGTGTACCTTGTGCTGTGTGCCCTGTGCTGTGGCTGTGTGCACGGTGCTGTGTGCCCTGTGCTGTGTGCACGATGTGTGCCCTGTGCTGTGTCTGTGTGCCGTGTGCTGTGTGCACGGTGCTGTGTGCCCTGTGCTCTGTGATGTGTGCACGGTGCTGTGTGCTGTGTGGCCTGTGCTCTGTGATGTGTGCACGATGTGTGCTGTGTGTTCAGTGCTGTGTGCTCTGTGTCAGTCTAATGGTTCTGATTGGCTTAGGCTGGTGTCGGGAATATCCGTGAACGAGGGAAAAGGAGTTGCAAGTTTGCAGGGACTGCAGTATCCCGGGCCCCGGGGCCCCATTCATTTCACCTGGACATGACACAATGTGAACAGACGGCTACATTATACCTTCATATTACATCTAAAGAAAAAACTGTTTTGGTGTCGGGTTTATTACAATACATATTGTCCCGAGAGATTTCCCCTCACTTCCTGTCCTGGAGACAACAGAGAGTGAGAGGAAACTTCTGAAGGGGAAATCCCCTCTTACACAGTTGTCACCAGGGCAGGTGACCCCATTAGAAGATTTACCCTCTTTCCCTGTTTGGGTGACAACTGTAATATTTTTGATCCCCCCATCACTTCAGTCGGACGTTTTGAGACCAGGGATCGTTCCGGACGCAGCTGACGGCACCGAGCGCTCCGCTTCGGCCGTATTTACTCGGCTGTCATTTCCATGACCGCCATCAGAGGGCGCCGTCACCCTCAGAATCAGCGGTGTGATTGTGTCACCCTGGGATCAGACGCCTGGGGGGGGGGGGGGGGG